TTTCCTCAAAAATGAACTTTTGACTCCCAAACATGGTCTATTTGACAAATAACAAGCTCATAAGCACTAAGAGATCAAGTACAATGCAAAGAATTATTCAATGAGATTGCATCAAGAAAGGCAAGGAGCTATGTGAAATAAAAAAAAATGGAAATTTTTTTCTAATAATTCTAATAGAGAGTACAATGAATGCTGTATCTGGTAGCATTGTGCTGGTAAAAACTTTTTCAAATATTTGCTAGCAAACAAGCTTAGCAATTCAAATGTTTTCATGGAAAAATTCGATGCTTATTCAAATATCTTTTCAGCATGCAAGGATTAATCCTCACCACAAGGTTAATCAAGCAGTTGGTTGCAAACAGATAGGGGACTTGAAAAAGATCACAACTTCTTATGGCTACAGAAACTGAGGGCATACTGCATAGTCACTTGGAGTTCAAAAAATCAGATTCAATTGCAATTAAAGCACCTGAAAATAATAGGGGTAGCATGCAAGATCTGCACTTAAAATCATGCATCAGTAAAATTAAAACAATACTGTTATGTACACATACAGTAAGTAAAGCAAGTTCAAAGACAGATCTTGCAACTTCCCTCAATAACAAAGTGAGCTCATCCAAGCTTTACTTCATTTAATATGCATCACTAATAACTCTGCCATCATTTTTTCTTCTCAAAATAAAGGTTGCAGCTATATGCAAGTAGAAATTGAAATCTAAAACCTGAAATTATCACAGATCAAAACCATAGAAGTTGATGAACTTCGTATCCTCTAAATTTAACTTCACCAAGCACGCAAACAATCCAATAATAAAGCAATGAAGAGAATTCAAGATCCAAAATTAGAAACAGAAATAGATCGAGACCACAAATGGATGAAATGGGCACCCTAAATTCCACTCAAATTCAATAAAACTCAAGCAGGATGACGACAACCCAGATACAGAAACACACAACAAAAAAAAAACGAGAAGAGAGAGAGTTCGATTGATACCAGGAGCAATCTTGAGAAGAGACAAAGGAGGGGGGCAGTCACAGATGCAAGGAGGACAAGAAGAGGTTTTAGAATCAGGAAATCCAATGGTCTTCTTGAATCTCCAATATAAAGCAGGACCACACACACCTAAAGCTGAAATAACTGCAAAAAAGACCAAACAACACCTCAAGCAAGTCCCTGATCTCCTTGACATCTTCTCTTTCTCGTATCAAGTACACAGTATGCTTGTTGTTGTCAGCTTCTATGTCTTGAGAGAAAGTGAGAGAGATCTAATGATGATCTATCTATAGTTAACGCGGATACACTGATTGATAGCTGAGGCTGAATCAAGGAAAATGAATCTACTAATCCTTTCTGTTTTGTCTGTGGGTTATTTTTTTTTATTATTATTATTTGAGGGAGTTTGCGTCACTGTTTTTTTAATAAGCAGCGAGAATGTAATAAAAATGCAATGTAATAATTTTATTTTATTCTATGTACTCAAGAGAGTCAATAGTCAGCGCCCAGAGGAACTTTCACCATGTGGCAGGGAGGGAGAGGCAAGCTAAAAATCACCGCATCAGTGATAATAAATTACAAAAAAATAAAGAATAATAAAAATAAAGAAATATGGCTGATGCTTTGATTTTTATCTATCTGGGTTTTTTACTTTTGAAATATGGGGTTCAATGGTGGCCTTTGTCAATGGTAATTGGACTTCTTTCCTTCTTCTTCTTCTTCTTTTTTTTTTTTTTCAGTTTTAAAATATTTGTTTATAGTATTATGGTAGTTTATATATATATATATATATATATATTTATATATATTTATTAAATATTTTTAAATTTATAATATAAATAGTTTAACTTGTTTCAAAATATTACTATGGTTATTTTATAAATAACTTTTTATGTCAAAATATATGTTAATAATTTATTTAAAAAAATTAGTTTTTGTTTTAGTATATCAAAATTATTTAAAAATACTAAAAATATATTAATTAGAAATACATAAAAAAATAAAAAAATTTAATTTTTTTAAAATATTTTTAAATCACAGAAATAAATCAAATCATTTAAACAAAGGAACCCGTGTTTCGTGTAGAAATAAATCTTAAATACATAATTTATATAGATAAGGAAGTCAAAACTTGACAACAGTTCCTCTTTTGTCTGGGGAAAGCTGGAAGATTCAACATCATTAAACTTTACATCGCTTTCTTCTTAAGAAAAAGGAATGTTTAATCATGGCTTTTGGGCACACGTATTGTCGGTGCCAAAATTCCAGCTGGCAATGACATTGAGGGGTCCGAAAAAGGTTGACTTTGGTATCGTTTTAAGACCATATTGACCGTTGAATTTTCCATGTAGGAGCCATATCAATGGTAGGATTAAGATCGAATTATGAGAATTTAAAAGTAAAATCGCAGATACCCTCGAGAGATCTCAACTTCTACATCTGAGTGAATCTTTTTAACACACAGTCGCCTTCATGTAAATAATTTTTTCAAACAAATTATATATATATATATGTTTGCTAGATTTTCAGTACGTCTTGAGTTCTTGACTGCAGTTTGTCATCAAATGGTCATAGTCAACTTGCTGGGAGCAAGGGATGGTTACTTGCTGGTTGGATCCTAGTGTTAGGGTTTTTTTTTTTTTTTTAAAATGTATATATGTAGTAAAAATTATAAATTTAAAAATTCTTTGAAAATATTAAGGATTTAGTTAGATAAATCTAGAATAATTTAAAATTTATATGAAGATTAAATAAAAATTAGATATTTTTTTCAGTTTCAAATATTTATTTTAAAACTGAATTATTGCAAATCACAAGACAATTAAATACCCCATCTCTAACAGTAATTCACACAAACTATCAGAGAGAAATCTCTAAACATTAGAGTGTCAACTCTTTTATTTTGTATTTTAGGTGTTCATGTAGTGTACTCTAGTCACCCATCACTACTCGTAGGAAATAAGAGGCATATAATTTTGTTTATAAAAAAAACCTAAAAATCATATAAAAAACAAATTATTAATTTTCCCTTAAATAATATTACCTACATTGTTTTAGATTAATTTTAAAAATTTATTCAATCGAGTCCTTATTTGATTATTTTTAAATTTAGTATTGCAACTCTTATATTAATTATGTGATAATTTTTAATTTTTAAAATTTATTTACAATCAAGTCACACTTAATTACTTATCTCATTTTAATTATAACAAATAGTTTTTATATGTGTGTGACCCATTATGATTCACAATCCTAAATAAAATAAAATTAAATACATTGAATAAATTAATTTATTATCAATTCAATAATTGATTGATTTATATTTGAAAATCAAATACAATGTCTAGTAACTTGTTATGACCTTCCAAATATTAGGGAAGTTATAAGTGATTTAACTTATTCTTTCAGTGACTAGTTTCTCAATATTATCTGAGAACAAATAATTTTTTTAATTCACCTAAAATGATGAATTCTCTCATGATTATTTAAATATCTTCATATAATTAATGTTATATCCACTATTGACCAATTTGTTACCTTTGATTAGGACAACGTATAAAAAAATCATAATATAACACTCACTATATAATACTACCATAATTCTTATATTTACCGATATAATTTTTTGTCTGTATTTGTATTATCATTTCGTTGGTAATTAATTTACCGATGAGATTATAGATGAAAATGCTCTATCGATGAATATTTTATTAATAATTTTTTATCTATCAATAAATCCATCGATAATAAAAAAAATATTATTACATATGGATTTACTGACAAGAAAAACGTGTTAAAACAATTTTACCCTCTTCATTCTGTTGGTATTTTCCTTAGAAAACTTATCATATAAATGATACAAATACCGTATGTAATTATGTTGTTGATTATTTAAAAATATATTTGTAAAAAATCTATTTAACAAAACTAGAAAATAATTAAATAATTAAATCTATTTGAAAATTCTATAAATAAATCAACTAAAAATTGATCTCATATGAAAAAAATCCTACATTAACATTCATAAAATTATCAAGAAAAAAAATTAAAAAATAAAATAAAATAACAAATATAATAAAAAAAACATAATTTTTTTTTATGTAGTTGCAATTGAAGTTGAGAAAAAAAAATGAATTCATAAAATACATTAATTGAAAAAAAAAAGAGAGAGAAGAAGACTGATAAGAAATCTGATTCTATTTCTTGATTATAGATAATTTATTATTATATACATATTTTGCTACGTTTTATTTGTTTTCTATTATATAGTGCCGCCTCTCTTTGTTTTTTTTTTTTTACACTAATACCTTATCCTTTCCATTCACATTTATACTTTCCACCCACATTTATCCTGATAACCTTGATCCTGTAAGATAATTATCACAACGTAGGATGCTTCTCGTGACACTACACACGTACAATATAGATAAAGATGGTGGAGAATAACCAAACCCATTACTTCTTAGTTGGGAGATTGGGCACAACCAAACTCAAGTTATTGAATTATATTTAGTTTTATTATTTCTTTTGTTGGACTTTTATTAGTTAGTGGGTTTTAAACTGAATTGATTCTAACCAGGGCTTTATTATTTATATGAAATCTTATTGACATTACAATACATTATTCCTCCTCTAAGTTTCTCTCTTCTCGTAAGCTTTTTTACTAATTATTAGCTTCTTTCTCTACTTCTAATTCTCAACTTTCCTGCATTTCAGCAAATCAATGTCTAGTCCTAAAGATCTCTAAGATGTCAGACCGTCACAACACAACATTAGTTTCTAATTCCTAAAACTGATGGGAAAAATCTATAACAGCGAGCAAAAGACAATGAACGTTTGTGGCATAGGTGACTGCAAACTTATATTACGCATGTTTCGTGCATCATCTCTTATTCAACATGGTAAAATTCGGTCGAATAAATTGAGTTACGTTCGGTAACAAAAATTAACTTCCATGATTGAAACAAATTATATATTGAATTCTATGATAGAAACGCTAGAGAAATGCATGCAACACTCATGCGTATGAGAACTATTGATATTTGCTAGGCAACACGAAGGATACAAAGCTCTAATAAGAAACTCATTCGTCAATATCTGGTTTCCTTTCTTTTTGATTCCAGAGACAAATATCCAGAAAGGAGAAATCCCACAACTCTGCCACAAACAACTGATGAATGATGTTACAATCACAATTTGGCCATCCACCCGCTTCTTCAACACCACGACAAATGAAATGAGAAGCCCTTGCGTTGGGATGCTTCCCTTGAAAGCCTACAGTATGGTACAACATTGATTGGTTTTCTTCGCCTGCTTGTAGAACATCTGTTTCGACAGTCAACCAAAGTTTATGCGTTAAGCTCCAGAAGGTGCAATTAAAAAAAACGTTGCTGAATTCAAGACTTGAAAATTAACAGAAGTGCTAAAGTTCCATTTTGAAACGGTAACTCATAGATTTGATTTCCTTGCAGTCTGGGATTATAGGAAGTAGATCAGCCACTAAGAGATTATGGATAGAGAGCATAAGCAGATAAATAAGGTCAAAGCAAAAACAGTTCTGTATTTTGGTTTTTAAGAAAAAGAAAAACACAAATCAAAGGTTTCTAAAAGAAGTACAACATCACCCTTTCGAACTGTTTGATAATCTGGACTCAGCCGGCTAAGTTTTCCTGCTTTTAATTACCAATGGTCTATTCATTGCCAGAGGAAGTGAAGGAAAGGGGAAATTTTATAAAGGCTCTCAATCCCAGAATCATTTTTCCAACATTGAAGAATATAGGATTCCATTTAAGGAAAAAAAAAAAAAAACACAAGCTAATAATGTAGACTTTCAAAATGCAGCATCCAAATTGCTAAGAAGTGAAAACAACAGAACACCAGGTCAAATTTTTTAGAAGCCAATAGGAAAACTAAATGCTGCATTCATAAATCACCATAAAATTTCTTTTCAGAGACAAAACTAACTGCAGCTGCACAGACCATAATGAAAATGTGACAAGTATGACAAATGCAAGTTCAAGCAGCATGTGATTAATGGAAGTCCTAGCAATTCCCCAGGCTAAAAATTATTGTATCCAATTTTCCTCCGAAAGGTCCTTTGCCCTTTTGAAATATGTAATGATCAAATATCTTTAGGATGTTAGTTAACATGCTATTTAGTTATCGGAAAGCCCAGCATAAACAGTCATGTAGTAAAGTTGTACACCTTTTTGTCAATAAAACTCTATAAAGACCCTGACTACTTTCTCAGCAGTGAACCATACTAGTACATGGAATGATGGTGTAGTGAAGCAACAAAAACACAAATCTGACGACTCTTAAACTTGCATAGCCTGATTAAGGAGGAAAAAACCAATAAACACACATACAAGAGTTGCATAAGTACATTTTCAGATACCTGTACACTAGAAAAAAGCACAACGGTAATTTACATATTTGTATGTGTACCTGTGATGCAGCACTCAGATCAGAACTCTTCTCAACTAAACTGTCAAGTTTCTCACCTCGTGCAAGCACACTATCAATGGTCTTATGCTGTACCAAAACATAAACACAAACATGTCACAACGAGACTAACATAGGAAGGTGAGAGCTACAAGGATAAAGTTCAGTAAATTACTCATGAATCACCAAAAGTAATCTATGCCTAAACTTTCTACTTTTAAGTCCTTTGGCATGATGTTTGTCTCAACAGCTAGTGAAAGAATAAAAAGAAATTCATTTACATTGCCTATGTCAGGAAGCAATGGCAAATCAGAATGCAAGCTAACTGAGACTGAAAATTGAGAATCACCAAGCCTATGAGGTCAAAATCATTAAAATATGCAACGTATTCAGCAAGAAAACCTCATGTCAGTTGCTACACTGCAAGGAAGATCCTGGCTTATAAACAAAGCGTGCATGCTATGCATATTGCACCAACACATTCTGCAAAAGGTCTATGCAAGTCTACATGAGATTAAAGCTGCCATTTGGTTCAATGGTATGGTAATACTGATTTAAGATATATCACAAATTCAGGCTACTGAGTATGGGTGAGATAACCATCCACAGACTCAACATAGAACCAGCATTTTCCAGGGATGGAGTTCAGGTAACTACTACTGCAACTTAATCACCCCCTTTTCAGTTTGTAAGCTGTTAAATTTGGATTTCCAGGGGTTAGTTTCCCACACTTGGGTCTATCCAAAGAACATGTGATTACAATTTAGTCAACCAATAGCCATATGAACCCAAGGAAGAAAAAAGAAGCATATATCATGGAGAAGAAGAAAGAATATGCTTTTAGTGTAAGTTGATTGTAGCAGTATTTCATTTCTAATTGATAAGGTTCCAAAACAGCAATCCCAAGATGCAAGAACCATGTAACTAAAATACCTCCAACCAAAAGCTAAGAATAGAAACAGGAAAGAGAAAAGTTAACAGATTTGACCAGGCATCTTAACTGAAAGAGAATAGGAAAGAATGAGTTGCAAAACTAAAACGTATGTAATCAACAGCCACTCACAAGGATAATTTTTGTCTCATCCAACTCCCTCTGGATTTTTAACAATTTGTCCGCCTCCGCAGGATCCTGAAAATTTTAAAAATTAGAAAGACAAATTAAAAAAAAAGAAGCCTCGAGATTCATGAGATTTGATGATAAACTACAGCATACTTTTCAATTAAGAATGAAACAGAAAATATAAATAAAGATGTCAAGTTACTTGGAACTTGGTCAAAGCTTCATTCAAATACGGCCAAGGTTGAGTGCTATCCGCTTGTGCAGCCCTCCAAGATTCACCAAAATTCTTTTGATACTCATCAATCACCTGTAACATTACAATATACCATCTTAAAATGAAACCTATAACATAGCAAGTGCAGTTAAATTTATTCCACCAAATACAATAGCACTAAAAAAACAGCCTATATAATGAACTATATAATGAACTTTAGGCAGAAACAAATGTTATCCATCACATAACCTAATGAGTTCAGCTTTCCAAAAAAAAAAAAAAAAAGCCTATCGAGTTACATTATCATGCTGGAAGGTCACTCGGAATCATTGCATTATAGAAACACAAAGAAACCTAGCAACATCATCAATCTATTTGCATGATAACATGCAAAATTCGTAGTCTTGATGAGGCACAAAACACAGTCCCTCAAAATCATAATTACAGCTGCATTTCCAACCTAACATAAGAAAAAATCCAAGCCACAAAAACAAGTATTATCACCTGATTGAGAAGGGAAAATGCACTGCGAACCGGATAATGATCATCCATAAATCCCAACGCGCATAGTCCATTTCGGTTATAAGTATGCACTTTGTACTCTACATAATTCAATTCAGTTATCTTGATCACAAGATCCCAAAAATCACCACAGATACTAACGAAATTACACAATTAGACATCAAAACTGGATCCATACATCAATCTAAATTTTGTTTTTTTTTTTAAAAAAAAAATAAACCACCAATTCGATGAAAAGCTGAACGAGAAAAGGAGATGACAAACATTGAGATCTTAAAAAAAAAAAAAATAATAAGAGAGAGAATATATTGAAACCAACCTTCGTGCTGGACTGATTGGCGTTGGCCGGGTGGGGTCCGTTTAGCTACGGTTCGACCGACGAAAAATATGAATTCCTTAACGCTAGAACGTTGGAAATATCCGAAATGACTCACATCCATCGCGTTTGCTAAAATAACCGGATCCGATCCCTCGGGGTTGCACTTCAATACCAATAGGGCCGTGATCTTCATCTCTCTCACTCTTTCTACGATTTTTTTTTTTAAATTGAATTTCTCTCTATCTTTCTAAAACTCTGTTCGGTTTCGTGTTAAGAGATTGCTCTGTTCCTCCTTTTCTTCTTTCTTTCTTTCCTCCTTTTTTTATTTTATTTTTTCAAATTTAGGTTTCTCTAGTCTCTCTGTTGAGATCGCCAAAGAGAAGAAAGGGATCTTAATTAGATGTGGGTGAGTTTATTTTTAGGCGTTGGAGCTTGCCTCACTGGCGATTAAATGTTTGAGCTGCTGACGCCGATGAATGCATCTGTACCGCTTCCGCAGTTTAGGGAAGAAATTTTAATTAAGAATTGGAAAGTTGTTACATATATTTAATAAAATAAAGTGACAAGGAGGTGAATTAGCAGGTCTTAAACGTGTTGCTGATGATAATTAAAGGCTAAAGTAATATATATATATATGATTTTTTATCTTGTAATACGGGGCGTTCTTTAAAAATCCTTTTATTTAATTATATAAAAACAAAAAAGGAGTTTTAACCGCATAAATATAAAAAATTAATCATTGAAAAAAATGAAATTGCTAGTATAGTTTTGTATTAACGTATTTTTCATAGAATAAATAAATTTTATTAGTTATGTTTTCCATTTATATAAAATAAATGGTAAGAAATTAAAATCAATATCTAAAAAAATTCTAATAAATTAAAACAATGATAGAAAAAGATATCTTTTTAATAAATATCTTTTTTACTTATTAATCTGTTTTTTTACCAAATTTTTTTATTTGGATTTAAAAAATATCAAAGTTTTATTAAAATAAAATAATAAATCATAATTCTAGACCGAATGTATTAAAAAAATTAACAATAATAATGTCAAGAATAATTCTATAAAAACATTTATAATAAAAAATTAAAAATAAATATCTCACGTGCATTTAGAAAACAATGCATTCAAAAAACTATTTTTAAAATAGCTATGAAAATCACTAATATTATTTGAAAATAATATATTTTAATAATTATTTAAACATCATTTAAATAAAATTATAAAAAAATATTTGAATATAAATTGTGAAAAGAGAAAAAAAAAGTAGGATATTTTAGTTTTGAGGATAATTTGATTTTTTTAAATAATTAATTGGTCATTAAAAAGATTATCAAAAGTTATTTGTCTTTCGAACTTTTTTAAATGATTAAATTATTTATTTACTTCTAGATTAAAAAATTATTGAACGGTTAGACAAGTGTATTTTTATCTTTTTGTTTTTTTAGTAAAAGAATAAAATAACTCTTCTTCTTCTTAGAATTAAAAAAAAAGAGAGAGGCAAGTATTCACAGGCAATTTCATCTTTTTCACATGGTTTATCTTCAATTTTATGGTTTTTTTTTTTTAATTTTTTCTATAGATTTATCTTAATATTATGATTTAGACTATGAGTTTTGTAGGCTTTTTTTGGATATAGGTTTTTTTAAAAGTTATTTTGTATTGTATTTAACTTTTAAATATTTTTTATTTTATATAGATAAGCTTTATTTTATAAAAAAATAGTTAATTTTTAATAATATTTCTAATATGTCCGGTCTTGCATAAAAAAAATTTCCTTTTTATTTTACTCACTCAATTTCATATGTGTTTATATTTCTATTATTTTTTTATTGATTTTAATTAAAAGAAATCAATAGATATAAATGGTAAATGTTTTATTTTGCAAAATCAAATATCTTGATTTACAACTATTTTTTAATTTATTTAGTTTCTTTTTTAATTATTGTTAATGATTATTTATTTATTTAGATGATTATCAATTTTTTTAATTAGACATCTAGATAAGCTTTTTTATTTACATTTTAATTTTTTTATGTAAAGAAACATATTAAAATAACCTATATATTAAGGTTTTTTATTTAAAAAAATATACAACTCATGGTGGAACACAAATCAACCTGCAGAATGCCAATAACATTCTTCACGCTAATATACCTCTCAATAAACTATATATAACATCATAGAGAAGTTGAAGAATATTAACAAGCGATCAAGGTTGATTCTTAACAATAAACTTCTACACAGTTCTATAAGTGAAGTATCTATAAAATATATTAGTTATCAAAAAGGCAATAAATATAGTAAGATATTAGAATGACAAGAAAACCAATTATCTTGGCCTTCATGTGTTTAGAATTGGACAAAAACTACCTAGCTCCTTCATACAAGTAACAGTGAATCAATAGAAATTAACACTTATATGTATTTATTCAAACCCAGATATCTAAATAGCTTGACTCTTTGAAACTTAAATTAACCTAGGATTTAAACAAACTTGAAAACAAAAACATAAAAACATCATGTTTTTAAAAATAAACTTAGGATGTCTAGTTTTATAGCTATTTGTTATACAACCTCATATATGATTTGGGCATATATTTTCACCTTCAACTTTTGAAATAACATTTCAAGTTTCTATCTATTTCCTAGATTGACATCAATTATAAGCAAAATCTTGTGGTAATTAGCACAAGAAACATCAAGAAAGGGGGAAGGGACACAAGAATTGAAAAATCTTAGGATAATGAAAAATTTATAGAAAACTGGTTAAGTTCTTATTTCTTGTACCAAATATAGATGCAAAATTTATGGAGGTGACATTTTAAAAGAAATGTAGCAAAAACTAAGGTGATATCATGTCTAGAAAATATAAATAAAAGATAATGATAATAATAATAATAATACAACACTCATGTGTTATCATAACTAAACTTGTCTTATACTCGAATTATTGTTTAGTCTAGGTTTTAAACTAAGTCATGTAAAGATTGATATGATATAACACAATCAACTTGGCAAGTACATAGCCAATCCAAAAAATTGGTAAAGACTTGGATTGACTTGAAACAAATTTTAAGGTGAATTGTATTTTTAATATTAAGGCGACGACATATCAAATGGATATGGGTTAGCCTGTTAAATTCACAATCTAGGTGATGGATCGCATCGAGTTTAACAAGTTTTATTTATTTATTTAATTATATGATAGAAAAAATTATCCATCACGCTAAATAAACCTATTAAAATATTTTTTTAAAAAATTTGCTTGAGAACAAAGTAATAAATAAATAAATAAATAAAATAAAATAACATATAAAAATAATTATTAGATAATCTAATAATTTAAAAGAAATTATATATATTATATTCTAAATTATTTAATTCTTAAGAAAGTTAGTATCATTTGGCCGAAAAAAAAAGGGCCAAGTACACAGGCTTATTAGCCTAGTGTGTTAGGCCTGAGTCTTTAAACTAAGCCCAAACATGAAGGTTAACTAGGTGAGGCCCATGTAGAGAAGCTCAATTTTTTCTTTTAAATCAGATAAATAACATGTTATTTGTTTATTTTTTTTTTTTTAAATAACATGTTATTTGTTTATTTTTTTTAAAAAAAATAGATGAAACGTTATTTGTATGCCTAGAATCCAACAACCACAAAGATAGTTGAAAATTAAGGCTTCGCTTTTCTTATCCTAAAACCTAATTTCTAATCTATTTTGACCTAAAACACCTAAAAATTATAAATCTCAATCAAAAATTAGTAAAATCTATTTTTAACAATGGTATTTTTGACCCAAAAATAAAGGTTATGATTAAGGGGTGTTCCCAGTGAGCTGGTTTAAAAAAATAAAAATAAAATTAAGTAATAAAACAGCGTGTAAAAATATTGGTGGCTAAGTAAAATTACAGGAAGTAACATTTAAATCCTAGTCTAAAATTGGTAAAATGATATGGTAAAAATCATAATAATTGATTAAATATATTTATTGATATGCGGGTTGACTATTGGTATAAACTCCATATTTAGTCTTGGAATCTTTAAATTGAAAATGGTATAAATTAAGAGAAGAATTATAGTAGTTACGAGTAAATATCCTAAAAGAATATTATTGATTATAGATGAAATGAGAATAAATTTATATACAAAAAGATTTTATAGTTAGGGCTTTGCAAAAACTATTCATGTTAAAAATCAAAGGAGTGATAGTTTTGTAATTATATAGAAAACAATGATAGTTTTGCAAATAAGATACAAACAACCCCTCCCCCCTTTTCTTATATGTCGAGTGAAAATTTCAATAGCAAAAGAAAAGGATGATGCAACATTTCTCTTTATCATTCTTCTTCTCTTAATTGTTTATAAGAGAGTGAGTTAATGACAAGGACAGTGAGGTTACTAAGAAGAATTTGATGTTAATAATTAATGGTAATTAGTGGGTTAGGAAGAAGAATGATAGTTTAGAACTTAGAGATAGAGTTTAAACATGTGAAGAATAAGAAAAAAGATTTTTCTCTTTCTTTGATGTTTATTTTATCTTGTTTGGGGGAAAGAGGAGAAAATCCTCAAATTCTACATTCTAAAGATTTATAGTATTCGTGTATTGAAATATGAATTAGATTTTTTATTATAGTTATCGGGTGTAAATAATACATGTTAATAACTTGAATTGAATTATTTTATAAAAATTAGAAACCTCAAGTTCACAGGTTCTAGGGTTTTTTTAATTTAAGTTTGAGGAAAAGAGTATTTTGTCAAAAAGATTTTTTGACTTAAAGAACATTAAATATGTGGTAAATAAGATGAAATCAAGAAAGAAATTGAACTTAGTCAATAAAAGATCAACACCTCTAGGGCCAGCAATATAAAAACTTTTTGGAGGGAAGGAAAAATTAGATTACATTTATGGTAGTGTATGATTATTAAATTTGAAAGTATGAGTAAATTATGCATAGAAAAAAGTTTTAATTTTCATCATGTGCTTTGATTAGTACTTAAAAGTGCATTTTTATCATGGTTTTATATCATCATTTTGCACTTGAAATATCAATAACTCCTTAAATAAAATATGTTTTATAATAATGTATCTAATAATATAAGATACCTATAATTTATGGTAAATGTCTATTTTTAATGCAGGCCTATCACATAAATGAAAGGATTGATTGATGACTTGAAGAACTTAAATTGCAAGGATAAAGAGATGGCCAAACTTAGAAAAGAGATGTCGGTGCAATCCAAACCGGAACACTGTTCGGTAATTGGGTCATATCTGGAGCTACAGATCTCAGATTTAGGTCCAATTTATATGGATGGAAAGGTAAGACATAGGCCTACAACTTTCATATGGAGCCCAAGATCAAAAAAGGCCATTATCAAGTCCAAATTGTAGCAACAACAAAGAAGCCCGAATCTGTCTTCCAGCCCGAGCACTGTTCGGTATTTTGGCCATATCTAGAGTTCTAGAAGTCCAAATGAGCTGAAATTTTTACACAAGAAAGCTGAGACAATTGCCTACAACTTT